TGGCAACCCTCCTCTCCTCTGCAAGCCACCTGCAGGGCTCTTCTTCAGTTTGGCAGTGGGGGGGATTACGCAGGAGATTGAGTTGCCGGCTCTGGGTTGGGAAATACCTGGAGATGGGGGGGGGGCTGGAGCATGGGGAGGGCAGGGTTTGGCGGGGGACTGCAGCAGGGTACAAGGCCATAGAGTCCTCCCTCCAAAGCAGCCATTTCCCCCCAGGAGGAATTGATTTCTGTCCTCTGGAGATCAGTTGTCGTAGCGGGAGATCTCCAGGCACCCCCTGGATGTTGGCAACCCTGGTAGAACTGTCCTGTCGCTCGTGTCCCTCCCCCATGCATCACACCCACCCATCAACTTTACCTCTTCTCTACCCCCTGCTCAAAGCGACCGCCCCGCTCTGTCTGCCTCGTTGGTAGGGTCGAGGGGTACGTATTTACCAGGGTTCCCAACCTCCAGGTGGGGGCGGGAGATTTGGAATCACACCTGACCTCCAAACTACAGAGACTGGTTCCCCTGGAGAACACGGCTGCTGTGGCATCGTACTCCAAGGAGGCCCCGCCCCTCCCCAAATCCAGCCCTCCCCAGGCTCCGCCCCCAAATCTCAGGGAATTTCACCACCCAGAGGTGTTTAGTGATTGGGGCAGAGGAACAATAGGAAGAGAGGCACGGAGGGATGACTCCATAAGGAAAAGTCTGTGAGGGTACAGGGGGACTTTCTAAAGAGAAAGTTGCTGAGGCTCATACCTCCAGAGGTGCACCCAGTCTGCCCTAATTGCCCGCTGTCTAGCTAGCAGGGCCGGCTCACTCACTAGGCGGACTAGGCGATCGCCTAGAGCGGGCTGGCCCTTAGGGGCACCAAACTGCACCCGGCCCTGTACTCTGGGAGTTTCTTGATTATTTGTGTTTTTCATTCTTCCTAAAATGCATTTATTTTTGAAAATTGGTGGGCGCGCCGGTGGTGGGAGGGCGCCAGAAGGGATCCCCGCCTAGGGTGCAAAATAAGCTGGGGCCGGCCCTGCTAGCTAGCTAGGGCGTTTTTATTCTACCCTTCCTCCGGGGAGCACGGGACAGCATGCGTCGTTCCCCCTTTATCCCCACAACCACCCTGTGAGGTAGGCCAAGCAGAGTGGCAGAGACTGGCCTAGGGTCTCTCCGCAAGCTTCCGCCTGAACCGGAGCTGGACCGCTCCATTTCCCGGCACCCTGCAGGCTGTCCCTGTGCCGAGGGAGCCTTTGTCATTAGTCCGACACCTAGACCTCCCTGCTAAAAGTAAAGGTAAAGGTTCCCTTGCGCGAAAGCCAGTCGAATCCGACTCTAGGGTTGCGGTGCTCATCTCTGTTTCCAAGCCGAAGAGCCAGCGCTGTCCGAAGACGTTTCCGTGGTCATGTGGCCGGCATGACTAAACACCAAGGCGCAGGGAACGCTGTTACCTTCCCACCGAAGTGGTACCTATTTATCGACTTGCAATTTCTTGCTTTCGAACGGCTAGGTTGGCAGGAGCTGGAACTAGAGACGGGAGCTCACTCCGTCACGCGGCACACTCGGGTCTCGAACTGCTGAACTACTGACCTTCCACAGCCTGCAGTTCAGCGTCTTAACGACTTGAGCCACCGCAGGTCCTTTCTCCCTGCTAAAACCTTCTTGCAAACAGGCTGTTGGCTTGAGATGCCGGGGCCCGTAGAGGCGGACAATGAACAGGAAAGTCGCATTCAGTGACTGCATTCACCCGTTACTGAACACAATACACTAGTTACCGAACCATAAACTGAAAGCAAGCAAAGTGGTTTTCTGGACACATGACTCTGGATGAACGCAGGAACCAGCTGAACAAACACAGGGAAAGCCCGCAAATAGGCAGCAGTCAAGCCACTGCCTTTTACCATAGCCGTGTCCCAGAACAAAAGGGAGGTCGAGGCAAACCCTATTCGAATCCCACCCTTCCTGCGAGGAAGTGAGTGGTGCGTTTGGAACGGGCTTGCCACCTCTGGGTCGGGAAATACCTGGAGATTTTGGGGGCGGAGCCTCTGGAGGGACGGCCTTTGAGGAGGGGCTTCGGTGGGGTATCGTGCCCTAGAGTCCGCCCTCCAAGGCAGACATTTTCTCCAGGGTGAACTGATCTCCGTCACCTGAAGATCTGTTTTAGTTCGGGGAGCTCTCCGGACCACGCCTGACGGTCGGTAAAACCTAATTTTGAATTATCTCGGTTTCTCCTCACAACAGCCCTGTGGAGCAGGCCAGGCTGGGACACGGAGCGGCCCAAGGGTCTCCACTGAGCCGACGGCCAAAGTGGATGTGATGGGACAACTGTCTTGTGCCTTGCTGAGTTCATGTTTAGTGGGTGTGTGTGTGTGTGTCTATTTTTATATGTGCACAAACAGATGGGTGAGGGGCTTGCCTGACCCCTCCCCACCCCCTGCCTTGTTCTGTTGCGTTTTATTGCTGCCAGGACCTTTTGGGCTAGCCCAGCCACTCCAGCCCCCCAAAATCAGTACTGGGTTTAAAAGTGTTAAAAAGATTTTGTTAAGATTTTAGCCTGCCTTGATCTGTAGGTCTATGTGGCCCTCTAGTGTCTATTTGGGAAATTGTAACTCCATCAGCTGGTCTTCCCTTTCTCCGGTACCTGTTAGGAAATCACAATAGAACGAAGTCTGAGTCCAGCGGCACCTTTGAGACCCAATTTAATTCTAGGTATAAGATTTCATGCACACTTGGTGTGCATGCACATGAAAGCTTATACCCAGAATTAAAGTTTGTTGGTCTTAAAAGACCTGGTGCTACTGGACTCAAACTTTGTTATATTGCTTCAGACCAAAACTGCTACTCACCTGAGGCACAAACTTTTCCAGAAATCATGTGCTGCATTTTCCTGAGACACATATGAAAAATGATGTTCAATTGTAGAAATAACGGAAATTGAAATAGAGCTATCTCCTGAAATGATGCTGCTGAACATGTTGCCAGAGTATATTTGATGGAAGGATAAGTACCTGATAATTTATATATTAACATCTGCAAGGATATTAATAGCTAAATTCTGGAAGCAAGAATATATTCCAGATCAAGAAGACCTAGTACAAAAGTTATTAG